AGCGCGCTTGGCATAGGGCTTCACCCACCACGGGACCAGCCAGGCTTGGCTGATGCCTCTCTCAGATGTTTTTTGCAGATTCTGGGAGAGCCGTCTGACGCCACGGGGGTGGTGAAAATTGGGAAGTACTAGTGCTGCTCTGGTATCACTTCAGAGCTGCATGAGGAATCGAAGTGCTGCCATGTGCTAAAAGCCACTGAGTCTTTCCCTGCAGGGCCTGCACTGAACACAAGATGCTGGACACATAGCTTGAGGAGCAACTATGCAGCCACCTCACTCTGGTAGAAAGAAAACGATGGATGTGGTGTAATAGGCCAGGACAAAGAGAGGGAAAAAAAAAAAACAAACTCTTGTTCTGAGGCTTAGCAGACCTGTCCTTCCCGGGAAATGGCTCCCAGTCGGGAAGTGGCAAGCTGGTTGTCCTCAGCATGCGAAGAGCCTTTCCCGAGGACAGCTCGAGTGTCTCACTCCTTGCCAAGTCTCCGTCTCAGCTCATCAAGACGCAGAGGATGCTGACCCTCCGCAGCTGCTCTGACTCCTTGTTTGAACACTTAGCAACACTGATGTGTCCGCAGCTGAAACCCAAATTGGAGGGAGCAGAGGAAGTGAATACATAAGCACAGATTAACCTTAGGATTGAACAGTGAAGAAGAGAGTCTGGGAAAGGCTACAGATTCAGGATCTTGGCTCTGCGTTAGCTCGTGCCCATGGTCAGGCTGCCTCCTATGGCTACATCCTCAAGAGCTGTGCCATAGCATCTGCAAAGTGTCGCACACTGGAATTAGGAAGCTTTGGTGAGGTTGGGCCACATGAGCAAGCATCTAGTTCCTCAAGCCATGGAGTGTGAGCAGCTCCGAGGTGGGCTGTGCGGGGGCCCTCCGGCCTTTCACAGGGCTGCACTACCTGGGTGGACTCCACATGCCAGGGGCAGGAGCCAACAAGCCCAGGGAATGAAACTGTTTCCCAGCGTTGCTCAGTGTCCCTGTTCTAGGTAGATCTGCTTAACTGCAGCAGTCCTGTCCCAAATGGCTGAATGTCCCACCATGTGGGAAACACACAGGACTTTTCCAGGAAAAAAAAAAAGAAAAAAAAAAGAGAGAGAGGAAAAACGAAAAAGGCGGGTATGGGAGATACATCTGCAAAAGCGTGTCCCAAAGTGTGTGGGTTTGGTTTTGAGCTCTGCTGGGTGATGGCCGGGAGATGGCGTAATTGATTTATTTTCCACTGCTAGGCAAGTTTGTGCCTTAGGATCCCACACCAAAGAAATGGAGCAGGGCAGATTTTGAGCAGATGTTTCAGATTTACACAATTCCTGTGGGATTTTCAAGGTGGACATCCCTGCAAAGCCTTGTGGGCAGATCCCTCCCTTGCTGGCAGAGGGTCTGGCCCTTCTGCCCCGGGGAAACTGCTGCACTGAGCAGATGCTGGGAGTTGCTGCCTCAGCTTTCTGTGTGAGACTTGCTTTTTCAAAGCGCATTTCCACATTTCCAGGCAGGTGCAGAACCAATCAGTAGGTTTTAGTCAGTGGAAACCTCTTTTAGCGTGTCAGTGACGAGAGAGGAGAGAAGTTCCCTCTTACCCACGTAGTTCAGCTTGAAATGCGTCACGGTGGGCAGTCACTGAGTTGTGGTAGTGGCATGCAGAAAGCGCTGTGTTTCGCCAGCCGGCTTCACACCTTCTGTTTTTCACATTGCTGTGGGCCCCCGGAGCAGGGGAATCTGCATGATCCTGCCGGGCGTTTCTGGAGTAAATGCACATTTGATTTTAGCAGCACATTAATGTGCAGCGTCTGAGTATTTCCAGGGCACCTTCTCCGCTCCCTTGCCTTGCTGAAATCATCTTTCACTGCCAAACCTGCTGCTTGCTCTGCACTTATTTTTCCTTAGTGTTTTATGAGGATTGGAATGAAACAGAAAATCTGGAGTTGTAATAGTCTCGGTCCTGCTGGTTTGGATTTGGCTTTTGGAGTTGTTTTTGTTGTTGTTGTTTTTGGTTGGACCTCAGCTGGGCTCACCGTCATTTCTTAGGGAACTCGTTCAGCAGCTGAAGCAGCAGCTGCCTCCGCTCTTTCTGGCTCTGAAATTTTGTTGCTTAGATAAACTAGCCCTCCTGGGGCCTTCTGGGACTGCATTTTACCCATTTAGTCTGGCAGGTCATTAAAGGGTTAAACGTTTCTGCCACATTTTGGTGTTCGAGAGCACCAGAAACTAGGGCATTTCCTGAGCCAGCTCCGCACCTCTTTTCATGCACCTGACAGCTCAGCAGCTAAATCCTGTTTCCCCCCTCACCAGCGTCTCCATAAGGCATCCCGGGGTCGCTGGCTCAGAATAAATTCTACAAATAACCCAGGTGGCAGAGGGATGGCCTGGAAAGGTCATGGGAGGCTAAAACGCAGCCTAGATCCGTGCACTTGCAGCCCAAACTGCAGCCCGTGGCGCAAGCTGGGAGCATGGGTGGAATTTGCCAGGACCGCATGGATTTTACAGTCGCACCCAGCTCGATGTCGAGGAGTGTGGTGGCAGGGCGCTCCCCAGGCTCACGTCTGCTGCCTCTCATTGGGTAAAGCTGCAAGCTCTTTATGGCAGGAAAGCGCAATTTATGGCCACGTCCTGGTGATCAGCAGCCACGGCGGCTTCACTGAGCTCAGCCCGGCTTTCCCTGCTCCGCTGCCACGCTCACCTCTTGCCCTCCTCGGGCTCGGGCTCCCCCTCGAGCTGGGCCTCGCAGCGCCCACACAGGCCCTGCGTGTCGGAGGAGGACCTGCCGCTCTCCGCGTGGCACTGGCAGCACTTTCGGCCATGTGGCAGCTTTGCCTCATGCTTGGACATGGCCGCCCTGTGAGGAGCCCGCGGGGCCCCTGGCACAGGGGATGGCAGTCGGGCCCCGTGACACCCTGGGGGAGCAGCAGGCACAGGGCCCCGCAGCGCCGGCAGTTGGGAGCCAACGGCCCAGCCTACTGCAGCACAGGGTTCTGAGTAGAACGTGGCCCCCACAGCCTCCGCCATCCTGCCTGCAGTGTCCCAAAGCACTCAACCGAGGAGGGCTCGGGGAGGCAGGAAGGGGCAGCCCCAAGGGGCTGGGATGGGACCTCGCTGCTGCCCTGGACGAGGACATGGTAAATCTCTGAGGCCATGCGAAAGCCTCCTGTTTCTCTGCTGTGATCCCACCCCATGTTGTGGCACAGCTTCCCAGGAGATGGGGGGTCAGGACTGGCGTTTCTGCTCAGGCCAGGCATCCTGCTCCTCGTCCCCTTGCTGCCAGTCTGAGGGGACAGCCATAGTGCTCCCGCTGCACGCGGCACTGAGCCCCCTGTGCCCTTTCCCTCTGTGGCAGCGTCACTATTAATAGAACCTCTCCTGCTGGGGCCGGATCCATAACAACAGCAAAACATAATCCACAGCCCTGACAGGCTTTTAAAATATTTACAGTGTAAGATGGTTTAGGGCAGAGGGGGGCCTGCTCAAGCACAGAGGCGGGAACACCAGGATTTCTGTGCTCCCTGCGGGTCTGCTGCAACAGTCCCCGCTCAGAGAGTCTCATCCCGGGAAGAGAAGAAAACCAGGCAGGGCAGAAGCCAGCACTTGAGGTCAGGGGGTTTCCACCAACTGTCTGACAACTTCCAGCTGGAATTCCAGCAAATTTTCCACTGGCTCTTGTCTGGGAAAAAGCGTGAGATGTTGCGCGTCAAGGAGAAGGGCTCTGCACCAGGGTTGGAGTGCGCTGGAGCTGTCATGGTGTTTTTAAGGCCTAGCTATGGCCCAAGACCCCCATGCACTTGAGCTTAAAGCCACAGCCAGAAGCTAAGCTGAAGTTGTAGAAGTCCTGTGTGGAGCCCAGACTTCCTAGACAGCATATATGTGAAAAGTGTTGATAAAGTTTGGCACAGACTGGTCTACGCTGACCCAGGCACAGAGCTCCCTATTGGCTTTCCAAGATTTCAGTCAAATGTCAGAGGTCAAACTTTGGCTGCTGGGCATATCTCATTGCCCATAGTACCTCTGCCATCCCAAAGTACCTCCTGCTGCTGCGGGTCCTCCTGGGCCAGCGCTTGCTCCCAACTGATTTAAGAGATGCTCCAGGAGAATTCAAAATGATGAACAACCCTTGGCATCTAGGGCAGGATGGTTCCCTCATGCATGTGCGCAGCCATCCCCAGGGGAGCAGGGAACACCTGGGGCAAAGGTGGGCAGGAGGTTCAGTTCCTCCAGCTAACAGCACCCTGTGCTTCATTAGCATCAGTCTGTGTTGCCCTTTCTGCTGGCCAAGGCTCTTGCCCGTCAGCTCTGCTGGTTTGCACTGGCTGAGACTAAACCCCGTGCAGGCACCTAAGGCACCTCTCTACCTGCACTGGGGCAGCATCACCCAAAGGCTCTGCTAGGGACAGGTGCTTGGTGTCTGCTCCCCAAATCCTCAGGGACTGTAGGAATCACAATTTCTCTTGGCAGCCAAGGTTTTATGAAGATATCTGCTCTTCACACCAGCATCCAACCTTGGCTGCTTTTTAAGCCTCTGCTGCAGCTTCTCACTAAGTTGATTAATGGAAATAATTGGTCTCTTCATGCATCTGGAGACAGTTGCCGTGACAGCAGTTGTATTTTTGTGTTTTGTTCCCAGGTTGAGCTTGTTTTTCACATCCCACAGCTTCAAGGTGCTAATAAATCAGGGCACTTGAGTTTTTCCACCCCTCAGAAAGGCACATACTCCTCTGAGCATAGAGGGAGGCAGGGCAAAGCAAGCGTCTGCATCTGGAAGTTAAAATTAACTGTGACCCATAAACCGTGACAGATAAAGCCACAGGATGAAGCCAGTGCAGTGCTGGCATTGGGTCAACACTGGTCTCTGACCGTCGCACAGCAAAAAGCAGTGAATCAAAACCCTCTTGTTCATCCAGGGAGCTACTGCATGGCCACTTAGCACCTTCTGCTGTGTGAGCCAGCCTTGCCACCCTCAAAGACATAAGGCGTATCAAGGTGTCAGTGCACTCCCTCAGCTTCTTATTTACCTGCCTTTTCATGTGAACATGTCTTTTCATGCATGACTGTGTGGAAGATCTAATACTGGCTGAATTTGCAAGACAAACTAACCACAGAGCAGTCACTTCACACACTTCAGCCCTCAGGGCCTCACAGCTGCTCCTGTGATGTTTGAGAAAAGCTCCTGCATCATCCCCACCTATGAAGGGCATAGACATCCCCATCACATCTAGACCATTGTGGATCCCTTCTGGATGTGGAGGGCTTTGGATTCTCCTGCTCTTCCCAAATCACTCAGGCCCTGAAGCAAATGTCCCTGATGTATTTCACCTCAAAAGCTAGGAGTTACCCAGTAGTCTCACAACTCCCCAGGCTGCACCAGGGTATTGCTCTATCACTATTACCTACACAGCCCTATTTGAATTCCGTGCCCTGCCTATGGTTTCTCACCCAAAAAACTCACAGCTTCTCCTGATAGACACTCCCCTGAGGCAAGAAGTTAAAGAAGTTAGGAATAGACACAGCTGGGACTTATTTTCTGGCACAGCTGCCTTTATCAGGTATAAATGGAAGGAGAAGGCAGATGGCTTACCTTAGCTGCCTTTTTAGGTGCAAGAAGAACTTTTTACAAGGGTAGAGGTAAGTTTTTTTTTATATATATATATGCTAAAGAGGGAAAGGAGTAAATTGTGTGTAACTTTGCTCTGTTTTCTGAGGGGAAGAATTGCTCTCTGCTGCCATATGAGCATGATGCTTGTGCCCCTGGGAAGGGGGAGCTCAGCTCAGGAGAGGAGTGACACAGGCTGCAACAACCCAGACAACATTGCTAGCTTGTGTATGCTGCCCGGCACAGGATCTGTGTAGCTGATAGCCACTGTGTTGGACCTTCCTCATCTAGGCTTGTACAAACTTGTCACATTCAGCTTCTGCCTAGTCCTTCTGACTAGTGTACAGGGCTGAGTAAGAAGCTGTGAAACCTCCCAAGGTACGAGAGCCCTGGCAGCTCTCAGTAGTCCTAAAAATAACCAGGATAACTCTTGAGACTATTGCCATGGAATAAGGCAAGCGGCTCAGCGAAAATGGGCTTAGCTCTGCTCCCTGGGGCCTGTCTGACCTGTTCCTGTGTGGAAGAAATCACTAGTGTAACTTCAACCTGGGGCAGTAACTGTTTGCCTGGAAAGCTGAGAGCGGGGATGGAAAAAAAAAATCTGTCCTCTGGAGCTATGAAAGGAATTAAATGGCTGAGATGCTGCTATTGATGCTTTGCATGCTATGGGAATAAAAGTGTTGGGGTTAAGAACAGGCCTGCCATGATCTGTGGCTAAGCTAAGTCCGTTGGTGTGGCTCCAAAAGTGCAGTTAAATCAATATGTCTTCTGATATTTTAACTCACACCAATCTGTGTTAAGTGATAGCAGCTTCTGCAGCCTGCAGGCAGGTTAAATACCCCCCAGAAAGTCACTGGGGAGAGGACGCCCCTGCATGCCTTGAGGTGGTATTCTAGAAATAATAGAATAGAAAATTCCAGCTCTTGCTGGGTTTTGACTCTGCGTGCCGGGCAAACCCCATGATGTTATCCCTGTGCAAGCATAGGGGCAGCCTGTCGGAGAGAACAGCCTTGCATGGGACGCGTTTCTCACCGCCCTCAGAGCGCTCGGAGGGCCGCCAGAGGGTTTGCTGATGAGGGAAAGCCCTGCCGCATGGGTTGCATTAGTAGCTGCCCTTAGATTCAGTGTTGCAACGTGGTTTTGTGCAAGTACATTGCCATGAAGTATAGAAAATACAGCAAGAAAGTCATTACAGCAGAATTGTGGATATTCATTTCCTCTTAACTCTGCATCTTTCTAGCAGCTAGTGATTTAGAATATAGAGGGAAGTCAAATGACTTTTTGCAAATCGAGAACTTAAAACCCCTTTCCTGCTTATATAATATTCTTTGTGAATAAAAATCATGTCAGTCGGCAGTGTGAATCCCTACCTGGTTTAGTTGACTTTCCTTCTGGACATGACTTCAGATAAGCTTCATACACAGCAAGGCAGCAGCTTCTGGGGATGGAAAAGAAAATAAATGCAAGATGTCTGTGCTTTTGTTCGGAAGCACGAAGTGCAGCTGTGTTTTCAATGTCCGTGAGTGGAACAGCAAAGGGAAGGTGGGGCCTGGCAGGGCTGTGCCCAGGGACACAAGCTGGGCTTGGTGACAACCAGCCCGGAGCGGCAGGGCTCCGTGACGGGAGGTGTTTGAGGCCCACGTTTGCAGGATTTGCATGCTAGCGATTTGGCCCGTTAAGCACTAAGAACAAAGGTCACCCAAGTAGTTCTCCCCTTGGTTTTGCTCCTTCTATTTTTCACTTTGTCAGGGTGCCCTGAGGCCTGCAGCAGCCCAGTTCCCCCCTCTGACCTGGCGCCAGCCAGCGCCTCTGCCGCGGGCCTTAGCGAACGTTGCTTGGCATCTAGGTTGGCATTCAAAGACGCAAAGCTGACGCGCCTGCCCCTTGGAGACAACAGCGGAAGTTTGCTCAGTATTTTTAGTTGCTTTGCTTAGTTTATCTGGCGCTGCTTGGGTTTCTTTGCTGTTTGTGCACAGCTGTGCGTTTTGTCCCCAAACCCCACTCAGAGACATTTCCTCTGTGGCCTTAACATCTGTGGGCAAATTGCTATCTCCTGACCTGCAGAGCCCAGCCAACAGGACACTTGCTTATTTTAGCAGCTGTTTCAGCTTTCAGACTTCTTGGAACATCATGGATTGTTTTTTTTCACTCTGTCCCATGAACAAATATTAGAAGAACACAAAGCAAGATATTAACTGTTTATTAATGTAAGCAGTAACTGGTTCTGTCTAGCTCATCAACATAGTGTGTTCCTCATGTCCCATCAGTTTCCAAACCAGGACAGATTCAAGGCCTTTCTCCTTATTTTTGACCCACTTGTTAAAATGCCTTGTTGCAGGAGCCAGATACTGCTTGCTGGCCCTGTCACTGCTTCAAGGACAGGGCACTTGCTGCTCCTCTGTGTATGGACACATTCCCCATCTGTTCAACGGAGCTATTAATACTCACTTCCCTCACTGGATGCTTCAAATATTTGTAAAGTACTTTAAGATCTGCAGATGATGGGTCTACAGAGGTGGAAAATACTAAGTATGATTGTGACAATATCCAAAGACACAAGGATTGAAGAATACCATTTTGTTAGTGTTTATAGCATTTACAGTGACGTGTTCATTGGAAACACCAGACCAGAAAAGAAACAGGATTCCCACAACCCTGGGAATATGTATAGGCCTTCTGGGGCACCAAAACAGGCAAACAAAAGCAGGAAGGAAGAAAGCCAGCTTTGACAATCCACGATTCTTTATTTTCCTCCTTTGCATTCCTGGCTCATGTGATACAGAGTCCAAACAGTTAAACCCTCAGCACCTCAGATTTATTGCAAGAAAAGAAAAAGGCATCTCAAAATATACAGCCATGTGCCAAGAGAGGCTTAAAGCAGGCTGGAACTGTGAGGTTCTCAACTAGAAAAGGAAGAGTCATCCCTGAGCAAGCCTGCTCCTAATGGGATATGAGGGGGAAACCTTCTTGTCACTCAAAGGAGAGGACTCAAGGAACCTCAATTATCTGGGGACCTCTGGAAACATGCACTGGATAGCTGAATGTCCATACCTGATCAGGAAGGAATTACAAGGGCGTTATCAGCAAAAACACATATCACTTGGGACTTGGAATCCTCCTGTTTTTATCAACTGTTGCCCAAAAGGAACAAACGTATGACACGAATGCAGCGCTCTCAGCATTGTTTCAAAATACTTCAGACTGTGTCTTGGCAGAATTCAGCATTATTCTATACAGCAGATGTGGTGCTGCTTTTGATCCAGAAAGGAAATCCTTTTTGGTCTCAGACAAGGTGGTGGTGGCAGAGAAGGTCATCCTCGTATCTGTTGACTCACGGGTGAACAACAGGCCAAATCATGGCTGGTTAGAATGAAAATTGTCCTCCCAGAGCAGACTAAAAGCCCATCTCATTTAGTATCCTGTCTTCAAAACAGTAGCTGCATTCTTGGTCTCAGAGGTACAAACTTGTAATGGAATATTTTTTATCAGTTACTAATTGCCCTGAAACAGAAGGTTTTATAATCCTTAAAAATTATCATTTTAATTCTAACCAGAATAATTTTATTACCTAGGTAAGTACCTTACCTCAATTTAAAATGTCTTCTGAAGTCTTATTTCTGGGCATATCTAGTGGCAGTGAGGGCCACAAATTAATTGCATATTGTGGAAACTGTAATCCCAGTAAAGCTGATGACATGCCAGGGAGGATAAGTTTGGCCTATTACATCATTGCAAAAATCAACAAATGTTGGCATTTCAAGGCTGGCCTGGGAGTTCCCGAGGCAATGGCTTGTGACCGGCAGCCTGTCCGCATGGAAGTGGGCAGAGAGGAGTGACATAAAGAGCACCCTGCTCCTCCTGAGCTTTGCTGGGCAGGGAAGAATTTATGGATTTGCAGGACCAACCAGAAACTAGTGGTGTAAAAATGCATATGCCTACAGGCTTGAATGGAGCAAAGGTTTTGCAGCAAGGGAGTATATAGTTCATAGTCCAACAGGGCCGCTAGCACAAAGTCTCGCGCTGAGTTCTGTGACAGTTTCTACCTGTCCCTATCTTCTGTCTTGAGTGGCTGGGGACAAAGTACCTGCCATAACGTAGTGCTCCCAGTTGGTTTTCTCCTTGCTGTGAGTGTTTGGTAGCAGCTCCCCTTATGGCTTGACTTTCTCTAGTCACAGATTAGAGTGTCCTGGAAGCACATTTTTGCTCTTGTTCTGTCACAGAAGTGGATACTATGTTGAATGGTCTGTCTTGGGTTCTCTGAATCAGTGCCTGTGTATGGCTTGAGTCATGCTAAGGAAACCCTCAGCAGTGGGGAAACTGCTGCATCAGGTTTTGAATATGAAAATGAGAGAGACTCAGAACAGAGGGGCACACAAAGGCATGCAAAAAGCTGGGTTGTGACTTCTCATGATCCTTGTTGAATCTGGAGCTGTAGATTCAGTTTGGCAATTCTGCCACAGATCTGTGCGACCCCAGAAAAATCATTTGATCTCTTTAGTTTCTGTCTATAAAACAGAGCTGGTGATGGACTGCCCGGATAGGCTGGGAGGTATTAACACGTGGCAGAACCCTACAGTAGCCAGCCCTGAAATGGGGGAGGTCCAGAAACGGTTATCAACTTGAAAAGCATTTTTCACAGTTATATTTTTTGAAGTGAGGGTTGTGTGGCTATGCATATTGCTCTGAGAGGGCTTAAAAGCAGATTTATTCTCCTTTGGAATAATAAAAAAATAAGGGGAGGAAAAAAGCATGTTAGCTCACTGTGAGACATTACACCAAGTTAGAAATGGCCACTGTGAGTATGAAAACAATGAGCAGTTGGAAAACACATGTCTATGAATGCCCTTGGCTTTTAAGGTCTCCACTCAAGCAACCTGTGGTGGAAACCTATCTACTGTATTTTAATGGCTTCCGATTCTTTGAGGCATCTGAGTCTACACTCTGTTGGAAAGTATCCTTGAAAATGATGGCATAGAAAAGCAGTACGTCCATGCGGAGCTCTGCTAAAGGAACCAGAGTGCCCTGCCCTGTGCTGGAGATATTTTAAGCATTGCTGCTGCAGCCACGTTTGTAAATAGCCATTTAATCTGTGCCTGCAGCATGAATGAATCGAGCCATTGAGGAGCTTCTCTTGTTTCCCAAATTCTGTCCTTCCTGTGAGCAGGAATATGAGCGCTTCCCAGCTGGGCGGCCATCTGCTAGCACAGTTGGCCTCTGTCAGCTCTGGGCCTGGGAAGGCAAAGTAGCCTTGGCCACCTGAATCGGGCCCACCAGCGAGCAGAGCAGAGCCCGGGGTTTTCTGGGCTGTTCCTGCCACCAGCCCAGGTGGCTGCAGGGGGGCTTGGAGCTGTCCCCTCTCCTGGAGTCCTCGCACTGCTGCAACTTCCCCTCCTCTTGCCCGTTTGATGCCTGCGAGTCCTCCTAAGAATCTGTTGTACCATCTCAGCCACCAAAGGAAAGGTCTTGTACTTATTGCTCATTCTTTGGGCTCCTTTACTCCTTCTGAGCAAATGGAAATGTTTCTTCAACACCCCTTTAGGCCCAAGGTGTAGCATTCAGGTGAAAGTTTCATGCCACTTCCCAGCAGCTCAGGGGAACTAGAGAGGAATAAACGCAGCTTGGAGGTGGAGGAATTCTCCAAACCTCCCGAGACTGCTGCCACACTGCAGCTCTTTTTTTATCCAAGACTTTGCCTTTTAAGACATTCACTTGGAAAGCTGGATGCCGGAGAGTCTCGGAGCCTGTTTCCGCTGACACGCACTGCAAAGCTTCCATCATGCTGGCGGGTCACCGAGGAGCCTTGGGAGCTTTGCAATTCCTATCAATTCCAAGTAGGGATTCGCAGCAAGTGCCCCAGGCATGGCAGCTGCCCGGCTGCCTTGCAGACTGGCATTGGCTCTGAAAACCATCAGTGCCCCTGGTGCTGTAAGGAACTTTGGCTAGCCGCCCTAAATAAATGGGCAAATGTCAGAAATGAGGCCAGAAATCCCCAGCGGGGGCAGAAATCCACGTTCTGTTGCGATTTCTAAAGACTGGATGTGTTCCACCCGCTCCCCCTGCGCCGCGAGTCCTGAACCGGACGGACGCTCTCTGAAGCGCAGCAGCCACCGCCTCCCTCCAAGCAGCAGAAAGCTGAGATTCAGCTGAGTTTTCCACCTACGCTTTGTGGGCAGCAAAAAAAAATCTCACTGTATTGAGAGGCAGGCAAAAAGTTAACTATATCCTGAAGGAAACTGCTCGTTTGCAACGTGGCGGCACGCACAAGTAGCTCCTCACGGCCTGCCCAGGTGGCTCTGGCCCTGCAGGCAGGGTTGTGCCTCAGGTGATGCTGGCAGCCGCGACCCTCAACGCAGGCGGTACTTACGGATACACTGAGGCTCCGGCTGCTGCTCGGATCCCTGGCCTCCAAGTGAGGCTGCTGGCGAAGGGCTCGGGGCTCGGAGACAGCCTCGGCAGGGCTGGCGAGTGGCCAGGCGCCAGGTTAGTCACGGCTGTGCTCAGGCTCACGGCTTCCTCGCTTGCGGAGCGGCTAAATGAAGTTGCCCTCCTGGGGCTGAGGGGCGGGTTCTCTGCTCCGGCTGTAATCCAACGCTCGTCCTGATGATGTCAAGCAGCTCTCGCTCGGCGGCTACCTTACAGTGAGGCGGGAGGATCGGTTTCCTCCTCGTGGAGATCTCCACATAGCGCTGCTGTAACCTCATCTCCCAGCAGCTGTGGCAGCCCCAACATCCTGCCTTTGCTTTTCAGTGCTGGAGCTTTTGTTGCAAGAGGCTTCCTCGTAGCTGCGGCTGCCAGAGCGGCCCCCAGCCCCCGCGAGGCTCCACCTGTTACCAGCGCCTGGTGTCGGCGGCGCCTCGGCGTTTCCTAAGCGCCTTGCTGGCATTCGCTCCCAGCTGCGCCTTGGGATTTAGCTGTGCCATGGGGCCCGGCCGAAGGCACCATGCGGTTTCACGGGGCTGGAAGCGAGTGCTTGAGGTCATCTGCCCCAGGATTGCAGCCTTATCTGGATGTGAAATGCAGAGCTGGGGGCAGCACAGCCCCCAGGTTTAAGGGGGGAAGGTGTTTGGGGCAAGGCAGTGCTGTATGCTGAGCATGTATCTGTGTCCATGCTGCTGTGATGCTCAGGACTGTTCCAGGGACAGAGGAGTTCTTGGCTGCTTCTGCCCATATCAGGCCCCTCTGTGGTGTTGACCTCTTCATATCCTGTCCACCTTGGAGGCAACACCAGGTGACCAAGAGCAGAAGGACAAGCTTTCTGCAGTGCTGCATGATGAGTCTTTCACCCAGCCCATGCCGTCACAGCCTTGGCAGCAAGGCGGAGAGGGGCACAAGCATGTGGATGTGAGGGACTGTAATATCTCTGAGGTTTGTTCCTCAAAAAATGCTGCAATTGAACCTGGACACCTTAATGCTAACTGCTTTGCTGAGGGATTGCAAGGCATAGTTGGTCTCTACTGCAAGGGCATAACAGGCTGCAGTCTTGTGAACGAGAGGACAAGTAGGTTCATTTCAGTTGGGGAGCATGAAGGATATTTGCAGAGGACCTGACTCAGTCCTGCTGGAGCCACTGGAGCTTTCCTGTTTGCTGCGTGCAAAGTGAGCAGTGGTGAGGACTCAGCTCTTCCAACGTGCCATCTTGCTGGGCAGAAGGCCGCCATGAAACCAGCCTTCCTCCTGTCCTGCGGCTCTCCCGTGGCAGATGGGCCTTGGAGCCATCCTGCCCCAGGCTTGCCACCTGCCTCCGCACCAGCTAAGAGCATCAGCTGGACCTGCTCCAGCAGTGAGAGTCTCCATTGGGGTGCCCCAAAACCTGAGTTGCTTGTTGTGATGGGCACCCACACCTCTGCCAGCATGTGCAGGAAGAGAGAAAAAAACACCAAGAGAAGCAGGCGGTGCAGGAAACACCCTGATAACTAGAGTGAGGCACTGAGGAGGGGGAAAGGCTTCAATAATGCAAAAGGTGCTTGTGCTCAGTGCAGCTGCTGAGCCCTAAACTGACCTGATACAGCTTTGCCTCTTGATTCAATTCTATTTTGTTTCCAAACTGGCACCAGGAAGCCAGTTTGCTTTTCAGAGATGCATCATTTGACAGAAACTAATCGGAGTCATGCATTATTACTTACCTGAACGTAACAGTAATGACTTCACCATAGAGTGCCAAGTGTTGCCTGTCCTCACCAGGGACGCAGCTGGAGCAGGAGGGCTCCTATGCCAAGATATCAGCTCTCCAGCCCAGTGCTTCAGGACATTGCTCCACTGGCCCAGCAAAGGCTGAAGGTTCTTTGTGTTTATTCCAACTCATATTTGAAAGAAATCCAGCTGACAAAAGCTTTTACATGAACACTTGACTGCAGGGTCTGCAGGCCAAATATTGTCATGTGCTTGCAAGGATATGAGTGCCCACCACAAGAACAACCCAATGATGGACACAATGCACACAATGAGGAGCAATAACGACAACAAAGCCCTTCAGAAATCTCAGAGCATGGTATACTAATTCTGCTTTTTAAACAAGATTTCTATTAACTATTTGCCATACCCGAACCTCCTAATCCTATGTGTCTGGTCCTGGGGGCAACCTCCCCAAAGCATCTGCTAGAAGAGTCCTTCCTCCCTTCCACACACGTCCTTAGAATGACCTCCTCATCTAAGACCATCTCCACAGGGGCTAGTCAAATATTTGCAATCAAAACTCTTTAAGTAGAAAAATACAGCTTGAGATGAAGCAGTATTTTCCACACAATGTATATTTTTCTTACAAGGAAGAAAGGACTAAGATACCAAAAAACTTTCAGTTTGCCATAAATCTTAATACTTGAGGGTAAAAATATATGGTTTTCAATATGTTTATTATTCTTACAAGAAAGATGTTGTTTTTGTTTCTCTGGAAATCCACCCTAGTTTCTAGCTAAGTGGCAGGTTTACCTTATCTTGTCCTATGGCTTCAGACAGGGTGTAGAAGACTGGTGTCCCCAACACCCTTGGACATTTACCCTGAGGTGCTGAATAAATGCTGTTCCAATCCCAACATAGCGAGCATGCAGTATAAATGCCTGGTGTGGCAGGCACTGACTGACAGATTGTGTTATAGGGTTGAGGAGACCGGTTCAGCTATAGCCTCAACGGGCCTTTAATGCCTGTCTGTACTTTTCTCAGGTTTTCACTCCAGTTGACTTGTCTTTGGGGCTGTTTTTGCTGTTTCTTGCATCCAGCTGTGGTTCTGCTGCACTCTCCTCATGGTTTAGTGCTGTTGTTAATGACATTGCTGTGCTGGGTAATGGGAGGTTCAGATTTGCTCTGTTTTGCTGCTGCCTGCTGGGGACTGTGCCTTGGTCTGCAGGGAGTTGCAGAGAATTTTGTTCTGCTCTTCTGTGCTCTGCACCAGAGAACAGGGTCAGAGAGCAGCCCTGCCAGATGCCCACAGGTTGTTTACTGCCCTTTAGCTAGTAACCATAGGGAAGAAGAACAATTTGGAGCAATCTTTTAGGCAAAGTGGCAGAATGAGTTGAGAGAGTGACAAAAAGGTGATAACAGCAAGGGCACAATCCACAAAGCAGCTACACAGCACCGAGGATTCCCACAGGAAAAACAAACAGCACCAAGAGCCATCCGGGAACCTCCGAAACCCAAGAAGACGTCTGTCATATCAGGAAGGAATGACTTGATTCTGCCCCACACGCTTTTCCCACTGAGCCTAGTTTCCCCTGGAAATTAGAGCAGCCCCTGTTAGAGCAGCGTCGTTTCAGCTTGACCACGATAGTCTGCCTGCTCATACGAAGCCTTCCGACGAATTTCCTAGGCACAGAGTGGTGCCCTAACTGGCTTTGTGTCCCTTGATGTGATCACGATTGCGAGGAAATATGGAATGGCAGAAAATAGAAGTAGAAAAAATGTGGTAGTTTGATCATTTCCAGACTTCTGCCCTTCTCCCTCCCCACGCAAAAAAAACAAAACAAAACCCCGCATTTTAAAAATAAACCTGATCAGAAGTTGCATAGATTATTTCAACAGTCTTCTGGGCTCATTAAAGAATGTGAGGATGTTTTAAGCCATCAGATACATCTTGCATTCTGAGAACCATAGGAAGAGGAGAATCCAACAGGTAAAAGCAGCCTTAGCACCAAACTACTCTTACTGTCCCAAATCTCCCCAAAATGTGCACCATCTGTCATGGATTAAGGAAGAGGCAAGGCGTATCAATGCATGTAAATTACTTGATGTTCAAGCCAACTTAGTTTTTATGAAAGCTGTTAATCCAGGAAGCATCAGCAACAAGTGAAATATTTAAAAAAGAAAGCTGACAAGGCTAAAGGCATTAGGAAAACATCTCTAGGGTCACCTTTGCTGGTGGCCTGGGTGCAATGATGCCGTCTGGCTGCAGAGACGTGTCCGAGCGCAGCAGCCCTGGGACATGCATGGCCTGAACGGGCCCCTTGGATGTCCCCGCAAAGCGGCTCAGCACGGGGGACAGGGCTGATGAGCCAGCACAGCAGAGCGTTCTTAAAAACTGCTCACTTTGAGCTGGAGATATTTTTAGCCCGGGTAATCTGTGCAGAGATGATAAAGCTTTTCACTGCAGAGTCAGGGGTGGCTGCTTCGCTTCTGGGCAATCTCACTCCACAAGTTCATCCCATCCCCCTTGTCTGCCACTACTGCCCGGCAATCTTATCTTCCCTGCCTGTTGAGCCAAATGCGTCTAAAAGGCTTGTCCCAGCTAGATAGCTGTGGGGAGTCTTGGTCTGAACTTATTTGCTTTCTTTTCCCTAGGGAACGTATTGAGTTTGCAAAATAAAAGAACTTTTTTTTTTTAAAAAAAAAAAAAAAAAAGTTTCCAAAGTCTGTTTCAAAGCCTTTGCTGAAAGCAGATCTTGAAAACGCACCCTTTAATCACTCATTGCTGTAAAGTGCCTTCCGTCCAAAGGCTCTTGCAAAATAAGTCACTGCTGGTTACCTCTTTGCAGCTGCAACAAATACAAACAAGTCTCAAAATCAGCTCTCCCGGGAAGCCAGAATCCTCCTTCAAGGACAGCGCTGTCTTCTGCCATATTTGACCCAGAAGTATCCCCAAGCCTGGTACGACCTACCCTACACCCTCTACAGAAGAAGCACTTTACCTGCTGCGGACAGGACAGAGTGTGGCCGCTGGCGAGCAGCACAAAGAGCACCCAACAAGCGTAAATCCTGCTCGCTAAGGGCTTTGCTTGTCTAAAGGCATCCAGAAGCTTCCACAGTGCAAACCCACAAAGGTCACGCATCCAGCACAGGCCTCAGCTGAAAATCATCCCCCTGGCCAAAGCTGTCTTGTTCGGACACAAGGTGAGTGTCAACATCTCGGTTCATGGATGTAATTAGAGAAGAAGAGACAGGCAAGTAGCAATTAAATAGGTT